CCCTAACCCTAACCCTAACCCTAACCCTAACCCTAACCCTAACCCTAACCCTAACCCTAACCCTAACCCTAACCCTAACCCTAACACGACTCGACGCGGATTAACGGGGTAGGCATCTTACAGTACAGGGAAATGCCATACTATGAAAGGGATCGCGCGAGTCCGGGTCCATTCCTTTCCTCCCACCGCGGTCTCTTTATGCTTCAGTTCACATAACACTGACCTCAGAATATTCAGATTCCAGTAATCTGTGTTCTGGTCTGTGAAGGGTCTGCAGTCCACATTAACACAAGTAGTAGCGCTCCGACCCCTTTGGGGGCTGGCTTATGTAGACATGCTAGCGAGCAGGCTGGAAGCTGAGCGATTGAGATAGTGCTCCCTCGCATTTCTCACGAGAGGATTGACAGGATCGCCGAGAGCCAGACCAAAGGCCGTACGCATACTCAGAATCGTATATCCGTATTACCGACATATATTTCAGTAAAGGTGGGAGCTGCAGATTGAAAATGGCCCTGCCTTTATGCTCTCTACTAAAGCGTACGCTGGTGAAAGTAGCAGCCCTGGAAAACACCCTTACAGTTCTGTTACCATTCCGCAGCCGACGAAAGGATGATCGGCATTAATGCCCGCAGTTCTTGTTTACTTCGTACACTTTAGACTAGGTTACGTACTTCGTATTTAGTAGGTGATCCTTTGTTTCGTGCAAGCGAGATACTACTACGAGTGCCGGCACTAAGGCTCCTCTTAGTAGTATGCTTAGTATGTTACTTTTCTTGTCGGCTTGTAGTTTACACCGCTATTTTGTAGAGCGGCCAGTTATCATGGAGTTTGACTAATTCGACTAATCATATTGTTGAAGCTATGGAGCACTCACTCCAGTCCGCTTTACTAGCGAGTTAGTTCACGGATATACGGTTTTGAATACTTATACAGGGGTTGGCTAGAGAGACAAGAAAGAAGCATTCAGTAACGGATTCTAGTGCTCTGCACTCCGACAACCTCCACTGGCTCTAAGCAGGATCAGATAATGGGGCATATTGCAGATTCTGAGTAGTGTCAGGGGTAAACCAGCCGTCGTCGTCACTTATATAAGACGCAAGAGTTTCCGGCTACAATCCATCAGGATTCTAGAGCGCTATCAATTGCCTACTCCAATCCCATTTTGTCTTAATGTGGTAATTCCAGTTCCCCAGTCCTGCTTTTGTTACAGAGCACCTAAGCGGCAAGACGATAAAGACTAAAGAAAAGGAAAAGGAAAGATGACTGATACAAGCGAGCAACTTCCAACCCTTCCCTCGGATATTACTCCGGTGTGGCTAGGCGAGAAGCTCGGGCACAAGATCAAGTCGATCAAGAATACCTCGAACATTTGGGGCACGGCTAGCAAATTGTTCTACACCATTGCCTACCAAGAAGACAGTAGCGATGAGCGGCCACGGCATATCTGTATTAAGGGCGTTTTTGACCCCGAGATGATCGAAGCTCAGCCATGGACTGTTAGCTTGGCCCAGCGAGAGTCCCATTTCTTCGCCAAGGTGGCGCCCAACGTTAAGAACATGATTTTCCCCAAGGGTTGGTGGAGCGGCATGAGCGACAAGCAGGGCATCGCTATCATGAACGACTTGACCACTGAGGGATGCGCTTTCCCCGCGGAGACTGCCTCATATCCCGTCGAAAAGGTCATGAATGGTGTTGAGCAACTGGCTGGTCTTCACGCGCAGTACTGGGGTCAGAGCCAGGACGATCATCCATGTAAAGAACCCATCTCGTCCCAGTTCGGCTCCCATCTGGGCCCATCACAGCATCTAACACTGAAACAGGGATCTGGAACAACTACGACCCAGCCATGAAATTCATGTGTACCACATGGGACCAGGTTGTCCGCGCGCCGGGCCGCCCCGAGCTGCCAGAATACCTGATGGATGGTACGCGTTGCAATGAAGCTTTAGACCGCTATTACTCGGAGCGCAATCCGAGGTTCCGTACGCTACTGCACGGTGATACCCACATTGGCAACGTCTACTTTACATCCAATGGGCGTATTGGCTTCCTCGACTGGTCCGCCTTCCACTTCGGGTCGTGTTTCCACGATGTTGTTTACCACATGACGGCCATGTTAAGCATTGAAGATCGCCGTGCCCACGAGATGGAAATTCTAGACCACTACCTAGAGACGCTACATCGACTTGGTGGACCTAAATTCGACCGTCACAAGGATCCTGAAGTCATGATTGAGTACAAGCGATCCTTTATGACTAACGTGATCTGGCTTATCTGCCCTGATGGTCTGCAAAGCAAGGAGCGCGTGGCAGTACTATGTGAACGTACTGTTGCGACCTATGATGATCATAAAGTTCTCGATGTCATTCTTGGTCAGCCTAAGCTGGCAGCCTGATGAGAAGAGCCTGGTGTTTGAGAGGTCTGCAGCTGGTACGTTTTTAGGGGGGTTATGAGAAGTAGACTCGTCGTGATACTAGTGCGTAACTATAAGAAGTTGTTTTTCTTCCCTCAATTGTATCTATAGACTGGCATGCTAAGACCCGTATACTCCTATCTTCTATCGACAGGGCAGGGTGCCATTATATATCGTCGATTAAAGGGCTCAAGCCTTGCGCCGTGCCCAACCGACTCTCAAAGAAAAACCGCAACCGTTCCACCGTTACACGGTCTTCCATAAACCTAGCAAATGACGTTGGATTCGTATGAGGCATGTGCATTATATCAGGATAAGTAGAGTTGGGAGGGTGGATGTCTTGTCGGACACTCCAACTGATTGTACTTTGGTACTCGGGGCTCAAGAGATAGTTGTGTAAGAGCTTTGCGCTTTCGGGGTGTGGCGCGTTCTTAAGGATTGCCGCTGTTTGCGGCCAACTGACAAAATTCGCGTCATTCGGGAAGTTGATGTTGACGTTCTCACCAGGGGAAAATCCACCAAAACTTGTGAACGTCACAGACTGAGTAGAGTTGCCTTCACTTAGAACAGTAAGAGGAGTGGCAGTTCCTCGAACCCATCTGGGATTCTGATTCAAAAGGCCGTCAAACCATTTTGTTCCAAGCACTTCCATGCTATGTCTGCTACGTCAGTGATACTTCTTCGTCTTCGGCAGTACACTAGGCAGCTTACATTTGATAGAAGGCAAACAAAACAGCATCGTCATCATTCGGATATGTGAGGACAAGCTGATTCTTGAACTCTGGCTTTAAGAGCTCGTTGTAGGAAGATATGTTCCCCACGTGGGGTAGCTTTTCAGTATTCCAGGAGATACTCCAGAAGAAAATACTGTACCCGTACCAGGATGCCGATAGAGGGTCTTTGAATGCCGAAAATACACTCTCTAACCCGACAGGTGCGTAGTTGAGCAAGGCCCCCTCCTGTTGCCAACGAGGAAAGTCTTGTAGTGTCTGGAGGATTATGCTATCGACGTAGACATTGCTGTTGGACAGCTGTCGATCAATCTCGCCGTCGAGATACTTGGAAAGATCCACGGTAATGTTCAGCATCATCCCGGGAAAGCGATTCTCAAAAGCCGCTTTGAGAGATTCTTGTTGTGTTTTTTCGTCGCCGCCGTGCCAGACTGTAACGGTCCCCCCTTCTAGGAGTGCAGCGTGGTAAATCTCATCAAGTGAACGAGTTTCCACTAATGGAGTTGAATTAAAGCCAAGAACCGTATCATAGGCAAGAGATTGCCCAAGAAGGAGGGCTGCAGTGAGGCATCTAAACATGGCGGTGAATGGATTGTACAAATGACAGGCTTAGAGATGTCGATAGCATTAGATTGAAGAAAGGTTTGGACAGATTAACTTCGATCCTACTTTATATAATAAGCAAACTTTCAGGAGAAGACTTTCCCAAAGTCATACCGCCTCGCTGGGATTACCAATTGCTTAATGACACTGACTACTCCACAGCCCGAATTACTCCAGTTGCGGGTTGCAGACGAGTCTATGCCCACACTGCGCCGATAGTTCCTAACTAAGCATCTAGGTATAGTAGTTGATGAGTTCGCGCGCGTGTAGCCCGACATGTGGGATGTGGGATGCTTTATAATCGGCGATCCGGGGGGTATCGTGCATCATCATCCCAATGCGCAAACCATAACTTGAACCGATCCCCGACTTCGAACCCCCATCTAGGATTCGCAGTCTATGGATAGGCATTGAGTCACTAGAAGACTTATGGGGCGGCATTCTCGAGCGCAGATGATAAGGACAGGGTACTCTATAGTATCAGTCATTCTACCTAGCCTCCCTAGTGCTTGACAATATGTTCTCTCTTCAGCATCAGGGCTATTAGCAATTGGTGTAGGGAATTAATCCTTCCATGCTATCAGAATCCCCAAGTGCGGGTTTGTTACTCTAGCTGACCATTCGTCAGCTGTCAAGCCGAATTGTTCCCGTGCGCTCTCTTCTCCCAAAGTCTCATACCTCCACTCCAATTTGCCCCTTAAACCACCCATTCTTGCGGCTTCCTCATAAACGCTCTTTCTCATATGCCAAGTCATAATATCCAGTCCACCTTCATTTAAGGATACCCGTAAGCTCCAGCCATCTCCTGAAGCCAGCTCTTCTACATACTCGTTGCGGGGATAGTACTGCCGTAGTGGATCTTGCTTACAATCCTCTGCTCGTTTCTGAATATCATCTGTCGGATGTGGGACAACTCCCACAAAAACGCCGCCAGGTTCGAGATTGAGAGAAATATTGGTGAACATGGCAACTAGGTCCTCTTTGCTGGACGCATAGTTGAGAAACCACGCCCCAAAAACCATGCTAAAAAATCCTGAACTGTTGTCAGGGGCAAACGACTGTGGGATTGCACCGTCCCCGAGCATAAATTGTGCTTTTCCAGAAGCAATTTCTGACGATAATCGCGTTACCGCACTCTCAAGCATTGTGGACGATATATCCATGCCCATCACGTATCCAGCCCCCCAGGTAAGAAGATGTGATGAGTAAAAGCCCGTACCGCAGGCGACTTCTAGGACTCGTGCCCCCGGCTTAAGTAGAGGATTGATAGCGGTGTATACGTTGTGTTTCTCCACAGCTCTGTAGGGGAGTTCCTCGAGGACGTTATAAGAGGCACCGATGGAATCGTATTGAGGCATCGTAAAATGTGTATTCGCGCGTGCAGCTCTACTGTTGGTAACTATGTGAGATGATCCAGTGCGAGGGGGATGTAGTATTGTTTGTTGGATGAAAAAATGATGCAGGTTTAGATTTCTGTACGGTCCATATGTGGATTATGAGAGCTAAGCATGAAGAGGTAATCATGACATAGATGGCGTTGAACGTTATACAGGCTCCCTTGGTTGCTAACACTTGGCCCGAAAACCTAAAACCTCGAGAAACGAGAAGGAGATATAATATCGTCTTATATCTTCATATAATGCTCAAAGCACTTACTTATCTGTTCTCCTAGAATTGCCGCCCTCTTCCATTACTTGGTATAGAACTCACAGAACAATGCCTTCTGGTTCAGAATGCTCTATTAGATATAACTATACTTACTAATGCCATTTATAGACGACAGGATACGTTCTGAATCTGTATTTAGCAGATTACGTAAATCATTCCAATATCTGGCGACTGACAAGGAATTCGAACTGCCCATGAACTGCTCAGACAACTACCTACCTAAGTCGAGATTAAAGATGCAAACTACGACCACGAGAAAAGATATCTTGAAAGCAAACCCTCATTCTCCTCTCTTGTGATTTGTCGCTTAGCCTCCGCTTGAAACACGCGGCCAAGGGCCACGTTGTTGTTTAAACCATTGCTGAGATGCATACTACCTGTGGAAAAGAGAAATATATAGTGAAGATTATATAATGGCATTTGGCACTACTGTTTGGCAACGGCCTTGGAATTGTAGCCTGGCAAGCCTGGCATGCGGTGGAAACAAAACACCGCCGGTCTGCCACTATACCTGTATTTTGTATGTGATAGGCGGCGCTCTTTTCTTTCCACCCCTTGCCTGGGTAAGGTAAGGTAAGGAAAGATATGAAAGGCGGGGTTCAATGTTATTGCATTACTACTTCGCCTGGCCTGGACGTCGCCGCAATTCGGGACCAACCACTCTGTCGGCGGAGGGCGGAAAACACCGCAATGGCCTATATAGGCGTGAAAACAAGGTGCAATGGCGGTAGCGTCAAGGTGAACGTGTCCATGACATCCGCGTCGAACCTTTTCGCGGCATCTTCATCGGCAAATGAAACGTTATACCGAAGCGCAATGCGGCTGAGGACCATGCGCATCTCCATCATCGCAAGATTTCGACCGGGGCAGGCCCATTGACCTCGCGTAAACGGAATCCAAGGAGACTTCTCCGTTGACAGGCCCTCCCATCTCTCGGGTTTGAAAGCGTTTGCGTCTGCCCAGAATCTCGGGTCTCGCTGGACAGTGAATGTCGGAACAGCCATTACTGTGCCTCCGGGGATGAATTCGTCATCAATCATTAGGCCTTCTGGCGGTGTAACGCGCGGGAGGCCGCCTGGGACGGAAGGCTTTAGCCGCAAGGTCTCGTTGATAACGTAGTCCAGGTACGGGATATTTTTCTCATACGACCAATCAATTACGCCTCCTGGAAACTGGTCACGAAGCGAAGCTTGGAGACGTCGATACGTCCTTGGATTGCTGGCAAGGTAATAGAGCCTATCGCGTTGCTTCGTGTTAACCCAAAACTACTGCAGCTGAGAGAATGCACAGATGTGGGCAGATACATGAAAGCAGATATGAAGAAGGACTTACGCATTTGCGAGGGCTGCGCTGGTTGTGTCACTATAACCATTTGGTGAGCCTGACTTGTTGGGAAATTTGCCGGATAAGTGAATACATACCTTCCCGCAATTATCAAAAGTCGAGCATCTTCCTGAATTGCCATTTCACCAGGCGGCGCCGAAGGGTCTCCCTCGGTTACTGCCTTGATTAACCAGGAGATTATGTCTCGGGGGCCCTGATCCTTCAACGTCGCTGTCTCGCTTGCCACGATCTAATTCGCCTGTAAGCATTATCCCTTCAACATAGGTGCGGCTCAATCTGCGTCAAATCTCACCTTACGCTTTTCCTGGAGTTGCTGGTGGCACCAGGTGGTGAATCGAGAAAAGCCTGCTGCTGCACCAGGCACTTTGGAGATCATGGATAACAGCCATGGTACCGTACCCAAAACACCGATGGCCAACATGCTCTCATGAACACCTTTGATAGCCGGATGCTCGGTCTCCGATTCTAGCATATGGAAGTCCTTGGAAAATCCTAGCGAGGAAAACTTCTTAGCTCAGGTGTCTCTGACTGGATGGCCCCTCTGGATAGATTCCTTGCTCAGCTATCACGTACCAATCTCGCCCATCACATCAAAGGCAAAGAACATGGAATATTCTGTCACGTCGATTGGGCGGCCGCTATGTTCCGCAATCTTCGCCAAGAGAAGATCTACTTTCGTCTTGATCCGCGGCGCGTAGACAGCCAATGCTTCATTGAAGAATTAGCACGCTGGAGAAAGCAGTGATAAGGTGGTTTACTGTGTGGTTGAATCCCATACCTCGAAATCCAAGTCCTCTTTCCCAAATCTTCTTGCGAAGCTTGTGAACTTTAAGAACCCGAGTCGAATTCAGCGATATCTTTGTTACATCATTTGAGACCTGCGCATACCAAGGCGACCTCGTTGTTCGTGTAGGGGTTTCATAGATTACACCTATGGCAGATGCGCGATTGATGGATAGCTCACGAGCTCCTGACGTTGGTGCGGAGGGCTCAGTAATTGAAGACAGTTGCGCGGAGATCGATGTAAAAACGCGTGCTGATACTCACCAACGCGAACAATATCTCCATACGTTTCATGTAACCTTTGGATATCTTCAAATGCTTTGAGGCTTTTGGCGGCGTTGCGCATAGCATAAAACCGCGAAAGCTTAGCCATGAAAGGGCCTGGGAAGCGATTCAAAGGATGGAAGAATGCTCTATAGGTAAGGCTGCTGACTACCACTCCGGCGTTATACGCATTCGAAACCAGCAAAGCGCGGCATATGGCTAATATTAAACTGTAACCACCGATTCGTATATGCGCAATGATCAGAACGGCACTCGAACCCAGAAAGATAAACAAGAGTTGCCACGCATAACCATCAACCTCAAAACGCCGGAAGATCAGATGGTGAGAGGTGACTCCTGCGACCAGTGAGACGATTGCTGCTGCTTGCCAGGAGACTCGCCAAGCTGCGTCGAATACATCAAAGATTTCCAGAGTCATGCTGAATAATGCGATTTCTTTGTTTTTCAGTCCTTAGGACGTGAGAAATAGCACTGCGGCAACATGGGAAGTGAACCTAGAGGTAGAATTACGGAGATTGCTGTTGATGACTGCAAAGGACGCAAGCTATTATTGAACCAAAGGTCACAAATTTGCCTAAATACCTCTGCATTCGCTTATACGGTATCCTCCGTACTCGTATGACAATGTTCATCAAGACATCTTCTTGGCCGAGGACCCTTGTGCTTTGTGGAGCATTCCGCAGGGGTTTAGTCTTGAAATCTGTTAATTGCAAAAGTGTTCTATAAGGTGCATGCAAGTTTGATAGCAGCTGGCAAGACCCAGTATTACTCACTCATTTGAGGCTGCTGCTTTGCTCAGTCTGGGTATCGCTGCTCTTGGAACTCGACCTCAAGGATGGGCGAAGGGGACAGGTTACGCTGGGAAGAGCCTTGCAGCCCTCACAACCAAGTAGCAATTCCCATCTGACTGCTATCCACTTCATAATTGAGTACAACATGTGCAGGACTAACAGCATAGCGGCAACTGCAATTTGTACTTCCGCGGAGTCGCACGGTAGCCAGAGTATAAGCCAACCGCCTTACTCTCCAACTTTGACTGTAAATACTTCTCACCCAACGGTTTGTCGCCACCCTTGTAAAGATACTCAACCTTGATTCTTAGTAATAGTTTACTATAGGTGATTTTTTTAAAAGAAAACAGGGAATTGTATGTTGGTATGGCTTACTACCGCGTTCTTTCTCTTCACTCTCATTCTATCAATCTTCATTCTGTAAAGCTTATGTACGACTTTGACGTCCGTCACCCTTCCCTATGGTCCCTTATGCCACAAAAAATGGAAGATCTCCGCACTTTGCTATATATTATCATCTCTTTGCTCTACTCGCTCACTATGGCGACTATCGGCATGCGAATCTGCATGCAAGGTGTCTAATGATGTCTCTCGGATAGGATAACGGAGTCATGCTATCTTCACTAGTAAGCACCAAAAGTCATGACGAGAAAACTAACCTGTAGCACGCATGAATAATGATTTTAAAGCTAATAATATCGGCTTCGCTTCCTTTTAGGTCTTCTTCATGGGACAACAAGCAATACTCTACTTCTTCTTACAGTATGATGCTGAAATGTCAGTTTGTGAGATCTATAAAGCAAGATAAACAACTGAGGCTTCTATAGGCATATCACACAATTCGATAAAGCATCCCAAATGTATGGCTGTTCTCCTCAAGGTGCACCTTTTTCCCTTTAACTATAACATCTCCTGATACTAATGACATTGTGGTGCCCAGGGTCTACTCCTCGAGGAGTTTGGTATGTTTTCATGCGGTTTGCTATTAAGGTGTGCCTCGGTCTGTTTGTCTTCCGGCTTTCCAGCACTCCTCTGTTCTTTCAAGTCCTCTGGGCAATGGTTTGGTTCCGCGCTGCCTCCAACTAGCCACCTGGCTTCTTTATGCATTGCAGTGTCGGCCTTTGAAGGCCTTTTATGCCCCGAACTGTGCCCAGATGATAAATGCTTGAGTACTAGTATGTGAGCTCCATTGCTAATTCAATACAAATGCTTATGGCTAACTTTTATGTAATAGAACCTATTTCGTTCTACATCCTCTAGTGAGTTGGTCAGCAAGAAGCAAGCACCTTACATATCCCACATACCATGCAATCGACATCGGCCGCCATGGCCGTGAGGAAATACTTCGCCAACGCATACCTCACCCGCAGACCTTGTTTGTAGATATTTACATAGTAGCTTTACTTCTCTGGATTATCTGGGCACTCCACATGTCCTTTGAAAAAAAGGCTGGTCGTACTGGTCATGCTCACCACTGGTGGCTCCGCTGTGCTCATCAGTGAGCTGCGTGCTATTATACTTATGGAATTCTTGCGTTCTTCTGACTTGAGGTACTCCTTGGGAATAAGCTCTGCAGAGATGTCTATCTGATCATTACTACGACTATGCCTGCCCTGAAGGCCTTCTGGTGCTGCTGGCGACACAAGCTTAGTGCTGAAGAAGCATCGGACCTTACACGCAGCCAGTGTGCTGCACCCGGCAAGTCTAAGCTGTCACATGATGGTACAATAGGGTTGAAGGCACAGCCCACAGCGTCGAAAAATGGTACCGAGGGCGACGTGGGTTATTCAGAACGGCTGCCATCAACAAAAAGCGAGGAGCAATTATGCGACACTTAGAAAGAGATAGTGTATCAGAAGTGCAGCCGCACATCAAGTATCTCAATCATACGTACCTTGAGCATATCAAAAGGATCTATTTGCAATGGATTGATAAGGAACGATGGATTGCGGTCCAACCTTAAGAACTAGAGGGCACGTTATCGCATGCGCATCACAGCAGGTGCAGGCCCGTTCGTGAGAATATAATGGAAAAAGTCGTCAGCAAAACGTCTCCGTACTTTGATGCTATACTTACACTTCCCCTTGAAGCAAATCAAAAATGAAAATATCTAAGTTAATATATCGAAGCCAGTAGTGATTCATGAAGGCGGGTTTAGGTCTTATCCACGAGACGATTAAACATAGGGTAGGTAGTCATGCGTAAGATCGTGGGTCAATCAAGAACCGAGTCAACGCATACCAAGAAGACGAGACATTGCAATCTATAGATCCTCTATGGAGTACTACGCATACGTATCCAATCTTATTTCCAAGTCGAATGAATCATACATATTACATACCTTACAGATTTTGGCACGTCGATGCAGGATTACGCGTACATTGAGGCAATTCAATGGCTAGTGGACTGAGGAGCCCTTTACCGGCTTCGGCGAAGACGAACGAACAAGGCGCCACACGACGGTGACAAATGATTGGGATTAGATACTTCACATGTCAGCCAGCAAATGGTCAAAGCTAGGCCATGGATATCAGAAGCCGTATGACATGAATCGCTCTGCCCGTGGACTGCATCAGGGACCTTTATTTCAGCTATGCCGAGTGTGATGCAGCATACGAATCGTTAGCTCATCCCGGATGCTGGATAATCAAAGTACAGGCTCTCTGATACCTGCCTAATCGAGCGACCCCCGCGAACTTTTGTGACAGGTGATGCTGAACCAACAGCAACTCGCACAGATGTCACATACCACAATACTTGAGGTACGAAATACGAATGGCCATAGTAGTACAATATATCAGTTCATAGGTAGTGTAGACAACGTCACCCCGTTCTCAATAGGAATGTGTTCCGAAGTTACAGTTTGTTTGTTTCGAGGTCCGCACGGTCAGCTCAGACTGCACCAGGCTTTGGTGATATCGCCGTGAGACAGGAGATTGTATCTTTTTGCAGCGCACAGATCGCAATCATACTAAGTATTGCTCGCTCAAGGCTCTAAATTCTTGTCTGCACTCAATTTCTTATCTCAAGTATTTGGTGTATTTCCCTCTTCATACAGCCAGCAAAGGCATCCTCGCTGAGGCGCAAAGACCACTGTGCATTTCCACACAGGTGATCGGGCTCGCAACGAAGTCCCAATCACTTGTTGCTTTGTGGGCATGATCATGCGCATCAGTATCGGAATCGCGCTGTCACACAACTTCTTGGTTAACTACGGAGTGCACGTCACGTATTGCGATCCTCTACGCCAGCCATATAAGCTTGTCCAAGAACCTGCACACCAATAGTGTGAAATGCGTCGCGCAGTTCCTGCTCGCGAAAATTGATCATCCATGCGATTGCGCCCAAGTGATGACGAGCTGTTTGATATGATCGATTTTAATAGCAGTCTCGGGAGGATGTAAGCGCCATTGGGATGAACCAAAGGAGTGCATGCTATGTATCTACCTAGGCAAAGGATGAGCAAAATGCGAGTGCGACATGTGGCCGGGGTTTCTCTTATCTCTTATAGGCTCGTTTACGTGCTTTTGTGATGCTACATGTATGGCTGAACGTGAGTGCGTCAAGCTGGGAGATGTCTACTGCCTAATCC